ATTGCAGTGGGAGGTGTGGTGGAGCAAAGCTGCTTGGTTCCTGGTGTCCAGGAAACAGAGCAAGTAGCAGTGCCTGAGAGGAAGGGGCCAGAGATCAGATGTGACACTGACGTCGTGGTTCTATGACTTGCAAACACACCTAGAGTATGCTCAACCTCTCCCTAAGGCAGATCCCATAGCAAATCACATTACCCCTTCATGCTAACTGCAACACCCACCCCTGGGCAATACTGGACTGAAAACTTGAGCCAAATGACACCTCTCTTCTCATAAACTGTGGGATTTGTGTATTGTGACCAAAATCAGCAATGAATATCTGGCTGATACATCTACCATCCATATGTTTTTAGCAACAATCCTTCAAAACCAATGATATTTAGCAAACAGTACCTCAGAGCATCAGTTCTGGGGGTGAGATTACTTACATCTGAATTCAAGTTCTACCATTTTTTATATGAGAAAATGTCATCTTTCAGGGAAGTTACGCATTTTCTATGCATAGTTTTATCCATCAATATGATGTGTTCTATGTATTAGATGCTAGCCACACACCTGAAATTTGTTAGTCCAAATTGAGATGTGCTATGTGTATTAAAGTGTGTCACATTTGGAAGGCTCACTACTTCCCCCAAAGTAAGATATTCCATTAATAATTTTATGTTGGTTACATGCTGATATGATAATACTTTGAATATAGAGTTAAATGACACACTATTAAAATTTATCTCATCTGTTTATTTACTTTTTAATGCAGTGATTAGAAAAAAAATTTTTTTTGGGCCTTGTTTTTGTTAGTTGGCCAGGTTGTCCTCACATTCACAGCAATCCTCCTCCCTCAGGCTTCTGAGTGTTGGCAGTATATGTGTGCTCTACCATGCCTGGCCTGAAACTATTAGAAATTTAAAATTATTTGGTTTGCATCGCATTTCTCTTGGACATTGCTGATCTGTAGTGTAGAAATAATTCTGCCTGTTAGATATGCTTATTATGAGGATTAAATTAGCCTACATAAAATGCTTAAATATACCTGCCATATGATAATCTCTAAGAGAGGAGAATCAGAGGACAACTTGCCTAGGCAGAACTGTGGCTTGTGACAGGGAATGACAGGAGAGGTATGGATGGGTCTTTAGAGACTGTAGCCTCAGAGGCCCTGGGACACACTCAGTGGAGGCAGATATGTTGGTAGAGGACAGTGGCTGTCTGATGCTCCGAACTTGAGGACAGCAAAGGAGGTAGATAGTTACTTTTCTGGCTCCATTGTCTCTTTGCAAAAGTGCAGAACATGCTGCCTTTGTCACACACTTGTCTTAGAATCCTGGTTTCCTGCTTTTCTAATGCCTGCTGGAGTGGCTAAATTCTTCAGTCTCAAGTATGGGCGGGCTTTTCTGTGGGGCATATGGCAAAGTGCTGACATGCAGGGCACCTGGTTGTCACTTTTATGGACCTTCTGTCTTCTCACACTTCCCAGAGCCAGGGGTTTGTTCAGGACCGGGTTGAGTCCCTGAGTTTGTGCCCAGGATCAGGCTGCATTCCCTGCATCCTCCAGGCAAACCCCGCCTACTGCATGCCACCGCCTCCCTGCCCTCCTCAAGGACACAGCTGTGACCACCAGCCTCGGTCCCTGGGGAGCTGGGGTGGCCAGTGTGCCAGTGCCGAAAGACCGACAGAATTCAGTAAGATTTCCACACATTTATTTTATCACCCATCATTTCAGTGCACAGTGATCTGTGGGGATTAAACTTCCACATTGCCTGTGTGTACGGAAGGCAAAGGAGTGCCTGTCATTTCTTTTGGGGTTTATCACAGTGAATATGTCCATTTCATTAATAAATATTTTAAAATAGCCAACATAACTTTTTAAATTCATACAAATAAAGAGACTCTTTATTTCATAACATATTTTTAAAGTCCAAATTTGCCAGTTTGTAAAAGAACTGGCTATCATGCCATAAAACACATGCCACATAGAGAAAGGGGAGAACTGTGGGGTATCCCTTATAAAGTTAGTGGTCACCTTGGAATCTAAAAGATTCAGCATAAGGATGAGCTAACAGTGGTTCAGGAGCCAGTTCTCACCCCATGTGCCCAGGCCGGTGTTCCTGGTGTGGTCTGAGGCATCATTGCGTGGCCTGTTCTGTGCTTCTCCTCAGTTCTTGACAAAAATCAGTCACAGAAGTATAAATACTAATTCTTAGGTTGGCTAGTGAAATCCTTTCAAAAGTCTTATACCCACCCTCTCTGTGCACCCACTGCCCTCAAGAGAAGAAAGAAAAAAAAAAACAACAACAGGCTTTTATTCCCAGAATAGGCAATGTTTTGTAGAAATAGAGCCATACCTAAGGCTCTGTCAAAGGCTTTTTTTCTATACATTGAAAGTATTAAAAAAAAAAATGAGACCCTCTTGTATGGGTGGCTTTGTTTATGTTTTACTTGTCAGCAAGCACTAGCTTCTTCTTAGAGCAGCACTACTTTTACTGGGTTGAAGGGAATTGTGAGACGAGCAGGGAAATTAAGGCTGCCGTGTCACATGATGGAAATGTCATGGGATGACTGGAAGGGACACTGGCTGTGAGCCACATGGGCCTGAATCTAATCAACTGAAGCTTTTCTCAGCTTTTTACAAAACTCTTAAATACAGGTAAACATGTAAACACTGTGCTCTCAGAGAGCAAGTACGTAGGCATGACACATCACATCCCTTTTGGGGGAAGCTTTGAGCGAAATGTCACAGGTCAGCTTTTAAAACCATCCACCGGAGGCACTCTCAGGCTGTGGGGCGAACACCACATTGCACATGTCGGCATTCTCCTGGTGCAGGGGCAGCTCACAGCCGGCCAGGAGGCTTTCTCTTCGCTTCCGAGACACGTAGCCTCTGCCCGTGGACAGCCTCTCGTACTTTGTCTCAAATTGCCTGCGCAACCACAACATCAAGCACATTAATTCACCCCACACAACTTGTGTTTGTGTTCTTTATGTGCTCCTAAGGCTCCTACTCCAAGAGGCTCTCCAGAAAGGGGTCCAGTGCCAAGGACCCTGGTGCTGAGGAGGATGGTTTTCCTCATCTCCCTTCTCCTAAGCTAACAGGTACACGTCACATGTCAGGGAGTGAGTCTGACTTAGATTCCTGGGGATAAAGGCTGAATTCCTTTCATCTCTGTTCAGCTCCGCAGGCCTGGCTGTGCCTCCCACCCCTCATTCCAGAAGCCCAACTCAGGCCTCTGTTGAGAATGTAGCCAGAAATATGATACTGGGGGTGTGAATCAAACCAGTGAGCCACAATGTCCAGGCATTTTGACTATTGGAAGGTTGATTTTTCTTTTCTTTGTTAACAAAATTGTGTTTAAGGGAAGTTGGTTCTAGATATGTTAATGTAAGTTAGTGACAACTATAATCCACACATATTCTGTGAAAATCATATGTGTACTTACATTATTGATGCCTTCCTTATATGCATCATAAAATGTCAGCAAATTTAAAGAGCACTCAGCCATAGCCAGGCTATCATGAGACATGACATAAGAAGTGGCTTTCTATACCTTAGGATTAGAAAGTGTCAAGGAGACCTCAGCAGCTACTGTTGAAAAGGTAGTGCCACTGAGACTGAAAGCATCCTGTCTCTAGGACAGCAATGCTATCAATGATGGTTACAAGCACCAGAGGACACTTGTAAGTAGGGAGGTTGTAAAGTTACATGGGTAAAAAAGCAGATTTAGTTTTTAAGACCTTGAGTGTTCTACTAACATAGGTTGACAATTCTAAACTCAACTATGAGCCCAAACTTAAACCAAAGGTCAAGTTATTGTTGTACATGATTTATAAGAATTATACGTTCACTGGGCCCTTAGGCCATGGTAAATGGGCTGCCAGGTGTTTTGTTGGAACTTTCTGTACAACAGGCAACTGTGTGAAGACACAAGACAGCACATGGGCAATTCCCATAGGCAATCAAATCCCTTTGTTTCCTTGAAAAGTAATCTCTGCACTAAATATGATTTTATTCAGTGTCAAATGAACTAGTAATTGGATTTGTTTGGTATCCTAGGAGTTGGTTAATCTTAGTTTTAATCAATTATTTTTCTACTCTTTTAAAGAAAACTCATCTTTTACTTAGTTTCTGATTTGTTTTTTGCTTTGTTTTTTAATTCTAAAACTGAATACAGCTTTCTGCTAAGCTGGGTGCTGCCCTGGCCCCCACCCCCCAAATTCCATCTCACCTGAGCGGAGCATCAGCCTTGTCCATCTGCATGCAGACCAAGAATGGATACTGGGAGAATTGCACTGTGGAGACAAATTCTAGGCCAGCCTCGGACTCAGTCCTGGATTGCAGGCCAGCCTTCACGAAAGAGGAATCCACCGTGACATCTCCAGTCAATACCACAGCCACCCTAAGATTGAGGAAAACACCTGTCCATGTCACATTTCACTGGGCTGGTCTAACTGACACAATTTTATAGAGCCTCAATCTATGACATTGACAGCTAGAAGGAAACACTCAGAAATGCAAAGGTGACCCTAGTGTGCTCAGGCTTGTTGGATTCAGCTATCAGGCATGACACTGTCTGGCATGGTACCCAAAGCATACCTGGAAGCTCATTTGAAGACTGAGTTACCTTGAAAAGAAGTTTAGACTCACAAGATGATAATTGCTGTTACTAACAAGTTTCATGTTAACTATCTCTTTGGCTTTGAGATGTCTATTTCAATTCCATTCCATTATATTCCAGAGATATAAGAGTAGTTATTGAGACACTGGAAGAATTGTGCCCACAGAGGGGTATGCACAGCAGGCTCCCCAGAAGGGATAAGAAGGGGGTTTCCCCCTGTCATCCAGAGAACTGGTCAGATGGGACTGGGGCTTGAATTACAACAAAGAAGAAGGTTCAACTTTAGGGCTACTCTAAGTAATTCTTTACACCAAAGAAAAAAACTTTAAATCAATTATGGGAAATTACTCCTGTAATTAAATCTGAGTTACATGTTCATACTTTTTAAAAGAGGTACTGGGCTGTCAAGACAGCTCAGTGGATTTAGGCAAGTTCAGGGACCAGAGTTGAATCCCCCATACCATATGCCATGCTGGCCCTGCCCCTGGGCACACCGAGCCAGCCACCTAGTCCAGGCGTGGTAGTGCATACCTAAAATCCCATCACTAAGAAGGCTGAAAACAGGAGGATCATTATGAATCTGAGCTGGGTAGTGAGACACTGTATCAAATACATTAAAAAAATAAAATAAAATAAAAAACAAAAGAGGTACTGATTTTCACTACACAAATTAAAAACTCCTTTGTTGTTTTTGAAAGAATTAAAGTAAGGCAGATGTTGTTTTAATCCCTGAATCTCTTATAGTATATTCTAATGCCTTCTGGTCAGCAAAAGATTAACAGTTTGTCTTTAAATGAATGAATGAATAATGAGATGGAAGATAGATTAGTTGTAATATGGATACTAGCAAATTCCTGAGGATATTGTGTTGTTTTATTTTTTTTTATTTTAAGGAAGAGTCTACAGGGTGTTCAGGGTCTCACTACTAGATCAAACTTATAGTGATCCGCCTGCTTACAGCCTCTCAAGAGCTGAGATTACAAGTGTGCGCCACCATGCCCAGTCCAATTGCCATTTCAGTGCGCCCTGGGGGCAGGGCTGGCATGGCAGGCCTGGGGATTGAAACTCTGGCCCCTGAACAAGCTGAGCTATTTGACCAGACCTATTGTGCTGATTTTTTTGGCTACTGTTGTTCATTTCTTCTCCAAATTATATTCAAAATTCTATAAGTTCATGATTATATTGAATCCTCAAAACAATTTAGAGAAATTTCCATCCAGAAAATAATTAGAAAAGAGAAGAAAGGAAGTATAGGCACTGGAAAGCTTCAAATTTATTACTGATTCTGATGTCTAATGCCATTTCTCATTTTTTGTTCATTTTAGCACTACTATGTGTAATCTTTCACATTAAATATGCTACCTTTTGAGTGCATGTTGGTTCACAGGTAAATTTTTTTTAATGTATTGACAGGGTCTCACTATGCAGCTTGGACTCATAGTGATCCTCCTGTTTTCAGCTTTCCCAGTGCTGGGATTACAGGCTTGTGCCACTACACCTAAACTCTGTGATCGGCTCAGCCTGCCCGGGGTTTTGTAGGGGTGCTGGCATGGCATGAGGTACTGGGATTGAACCCTGCAGTCCCTCTGCTTGCCTAAGCAGGTGCTTTAGTCCACTGAGCTATCTTGCTGGCCCTCACACGTAGTTGAAAATAAGTAAAAAGTTAAATTTTCATACTATATTTTTAAATATCCAAAAGATTAAAAAATTACATTTTCTTTTCTTCAGTTTTACAAGAAAAAAATTAGTTTCATTATCTCTAGTTCAGAGATGTTGATTTATGTTCAAAGTAAAGCATTTTAATTGGATTGGATTAGAAAACTAAAGAGGCTCAGAAAAAGGAATGCTGAGGAAAATACACAAGAACTCCAAATATTTAAGGTTTTCATTCTGCACAGATGAGATTCTCAAGACAGCAAAAGAGGAAAGGCTTTAAACCCCAACAGTAGGTTAATAAATTAGCTTCAAAGTAAAATTTCCTGCTAGCACTGTTCACCACTAAAATGAGCTACCAAGAGAAGATGAGCCAAACTCCTCACTCTTTCGCCCAACGTTTATTCCTATCTCTGAAAACAGGAAGATTCTCAGTGGACTTGTTGTAAATGACTAAGATGTTCCTAAGAAGCTATGTTGGAATGGCTTCCATGGTCACTTCCAACTCTGTGATTTCATAACTACAAATAAAAATGATGGACTTTGAAAAGCCCAAAGGTTAAACAGTGCCCAGAGCATTTCTCTGTAGTTCTATATAGAGTATTGAACATGATACACTTACCGATTTTTCACTCGGGTTTTAGACTCACGATACCACAGACTAAACTCCATTGCTCCTGAAATGTCAATAGCTAGACCACCCTGGACTTCTATGTTGGCCTTTAGTCCTGATTGCAATTGAAGCTCCTAGAGAAAAAAGAACACAGTAAGTACAGTGCAGTTAATATGGATATACCAATGACTTGGGTTGACATAGGAGCTTTTCACTGGGTTTGGATAATTGTCCTCATCTTAATCAGCAGAAGCAGACTCTGCTAATTTGCTAAGTTAATAAGACACAACAGAAATGAAGGCACCATTGCGAAGAGCACTTTCCTTCAGTCATTGTAGGGCAAAAGGTCCTGGATGTCTGGTCCTCTGAGCAGTAGCATCAGCACCAACAGGAATCTCCTTGTTCCAAGTGCAGGTTCAGAGGCCTGCCAATGCCTACCAAGGACTGGCCCAGCAATTTATGCTCTTGTGGGTCCTCTTATGATATAGATTCTTCTAAAGTGGAGAACCATAGTACCACAGAAAATGAGGGCACCTCTACCTGAGATTCCCCTGAGACTTTTATTTCGCAGGTGTAGGTTGGACATGGCAGTCCTTCAGTGCTCCTCAAGTACCAACCACTGCATCCTTCCGACGATGGCAGCCCAGTGACCTTTGGTGCAGTGTACAAATTCCAGAAACTGCCCATACCAGAGCAGGAGAGCAAGGCAAGCATTTACCTAAGCCTTGCACCCTGCCCTCTGACATCTGAATGATTACCACTTAATGATCACATCCAACACAAACTTAACCACACTTTTCAGAAGCACAGGAATCAATAACAGACATGGTCCATCCTGAGAAATTTTAGAGTTGTCTGAAACTCATTGCTGTGCACTGTCTGCCTCCATTTTTAGCCTTAAGGCCTTGCATTTTCTAGCTATGGTAGGTAGGATGATATTGGTCAAAAGCATTTTCACTGAATTGAAATTAGATGGCCTAGGGACAAAGTTAAGAGTGATAATAATTCTGTGGAAAAGTTCAGCATCTTAGTTTTAATATTCTCCCAAAGATAATAAGTTCCTGGCAACTGGCAGCATGATTAACTTCTTTATGCAACTGTCCTACTCAGATAGAATGAGCCCTACACTTGCCATGTACAAAGGGCATGATTTCACTTTCCAGAAGAGACAGTGTTGGACTTCCTGAATTCCAGAGAGCATGGCTGAGAATCTCAGACACACAGCTTGGAAGCAGTCATACAAACAGATGTGGCAGTGGCACGACTTTACTTTCATTCTGAAGGACATTCAGGTTGAGCTGGAATTACAGAGACAAGGGGGCTCTCAGTGCAATGCCCAGCACCCATTAGGAGGCACCACTAAGGACGCTGAGAGTCACATGCAATACAGAAGAGAAATGTAGCTGCCATAGGACAAACAGACTGTGTTATGGATCACAGCTAATGTGAAGAAGCACAGCTTATCCTGAGAAAACCATGGCAAGCATGCCCCGATGTGTACTCATAACAGGGCCAAAACAATGAGAGGCTGCATGTGCATTGCAATGGGAACTGTGTGCCCAACCTCTCCTCACTTCCCAACCTGAAAATCATAATCATGGAAGAATCATCGAGGATCTGAGATGTAGGCCTTAACTTTCTCATGGATAAAATATTAAGTAGATGCCAAAATATGGTGAGTACCACAAAAAGTGCATTTTATAGTATCAGACAATATATCTTTGTAAGCATATAGTATTTCCATTGCAAAGTGATTTTGAGGAGCACTTTGACTTTCTGGGAAGATTCCTTTTCTTTAAGTAAAGAGAGCTTGGGAAAAATTTATATGAAGCTGCAAAAGAATTTTCTAGGGCTGGTCAAATATCTCAGTGGATTAAAGCACCTGCAATCAGGCACAGGGGCTGGGGGTTTGATCCCTGGGCCTGCTGTGCCCCCCAGGGCACGCTAACACAGTGATTGAGACTGGGCATGGTGGTGTGCACCTATAATCCCAGCACTTGGGAGGCTGTAAACAGGAGATTCACTATGAATCTGATCTAGCAGTGAGACCTTGAATACCCTGTAGACCCTTCCCTAAAATATGGAAAAAAATAAAGGAATTTCTTGTACCACCTTATAGAGATAGACCACTGACCTATGTAGATGAATGAGTTGCTCTTTCCCTTATAAAAAGAACTAAAACACATAGCACAGTGGTTTTAATTTTTGAGAGGCATAAATTTAAATTTTTAAAGCACTTACTTTATGCCTAACATTATTCATTGTGTAATTCATCAATCCTCATATCAATCTTCCATGCTAGACATTATATTTGAAGATTGAAAGGAAAAATAGCATTTAGAGAATACATAAAGAGTTGGAATAAATAATCAGACAGTTTCCAAATGATCTTTCTATAATGTGTGACCAAAGTATATGGTGAAAGTTTAGCTTAAAATATTTATTACAGCAAAGACATGTTCCCATTAATCCCCTTTAAAGTACTTCCTCTACCTTTGAATATACTTATCCCATCACTTGTGACTCTTACTGAAGCAATTCTAGAAGTTCTCTTTTATGAGAGGCTTTATGAAGTGTGATTAAAAAAAATAGGGAATGCTGCTTCTGGGGGGCGAGGATAGATAGATAGATAGATAGATAGATAGATAGATAGATAGATGGATGGATGGATGGATGGATGGATGGATGGATGGATGGATAGATAGATAGATAGACAGATAGATAGATAGAGAAATTCCATGAACTCCATCTTCCCCAGGGCTCTGCCAGCCCACCGTGGCCAGCATTTCCTTCCACAGCAGCTGGGGACCTCGAGCACATCTGCCTGAAGCATGGGTGGCTACTAGAGCTCGTTTGTGTGGTAGCGTCATATCTTCCCCAACACTTCCAGTGAGACACACAGAAACTGGCTATATGTAACAGTCAGGCAACAATGTTCCTCATAACGATGCCTTGCCACAAGTGCCCCGCTAATTAATAGGAAAACCACATAAGAGCATCTAAATCAGGGATGGCAAGATGCAGCCTGCACAGCAGTCTGGCCCGAGCTCTTTTTATAAGTAAAATTTCCAAAGACTTGCAGGTTGCTCCCCCTACAGAAGCGGAGTAAAGTGCTGCACAGAAACCATGGAGTCTGAAAGACTCTTCCTTTGAATATACTTATCCCTTCACTTTTTCTACTTTCTGAAGAAATTCTAGAAATTCTCTTTTGTGAGAGTCTTTATGAAGTGCTGCCCTTTACAGAACCAGTCTGCCAGACCAGATTTAGGCTATGAATATATTTGCATATATATTATATTTGCATCCAGTTTTTCACCCTATCTAAACCACTGAGCACTGTTCAAAGGTAGCTGAGCACATGCAGGTGGTGCTACCCTGTGCCTTCAAATGAGGACCATTCATCTGTGTACTCAGGCTGATGCTAGAGGTCTTCTACATTAATAGCAGAATAGGATCATGTAGTGGGTGCAGACTTCTGATATAATTTGAGAACTATTTGTTATGTGTGTCTTAAGGGTTAAAGGATTGAGAACCACTGCTCCTTTGTGGCCTTGTCTTGGTTTGTATGAACAGGAACACATTTCCATTTGCAGTGTCTACTCTTGTGGCAAAGCTACATTGACCAGCTTCCCTGGCAGCTAGAGGCAGCCATGTGACACAGATTTTGCCAATAATGTTCCAGACAAGGTTTCCAAAAGAGTTAGACTTTCCCCTCCCCTTTTTCTTCCCTAGGATGAGGAGGCAGTGCTGGAAATGGAGTGGTCATGTTGTCACAAGGCCATGATGTCTGGAGATCTAATGTCCCAAGAAGAGTCATGGAGTTGAAGGGAAAAAAGCTCAAATTCTGATATTTTAGGGTGTCCATATTAGCCCTGGACTACATATTTTGACATATTTATTATGTGACACAAATTAAACTACTTGGTTAAGCCACTGTTAATTTTTTTGTCTTTGTTATCTACATCTATGCTGAACTGATATAAGAAATAGTAGAGAATTAATAATACTTAATTATAGCTTGCATTTAGAAATCTAAAACCACCATTTCTTGTATCTTGGTCACTTGAAACTTAGTGCACAAAAGACAGCATTGCCAGTCCTTTGCACAGTATAGTAACACCTGGGAGAAGGAAAACTGAAAACTATTCTTAAGTAAGAGGTCCAAGTAAGAGCAAGTACTCCTGCTTTCTTAGAATGAATGCATCTTTTAAGATTCTACAAGGATGAGAATTTGGGGCAGAGTCTCAGTGAAACTCCTGAAGACACATGGCTGGTATCACTGCTTGTCTGCCCTGCACTAATCTGACAGAGTCAAAATAACACACTGGATGGGTCTTTGTTGTTGTTTTCAAGTGTCACCAGTGACTTAAAGAAGTCATGTGGCCTGGCTTCTGCCACCCAAGCCCTGTGTCCAGTGAAAACCAAGTAAGGCAGAAGTATCACTTTGCTCCACACTCTCCCAACTCCTGTTCTATTCACTAGCATCTGCATATATTTGCCTCCCAGTAAGGAGATCCTCTAATCAGTTAACAAATGAGGAAGGAAATGCTGTTTATCCATAGCAAAGGAAAACAGGCAACAGTACCAAGATGCTAGGAAGGTGAGCACCAAGATAAGCTAACTTCACCTTGCATCATCCCGGCATGGAGCACATTTTAAGGACTAATAAATACATTCAGACAGAATGCAATACCTGAGAATGGTCTATTAGTAGAATAAGTCCTTTCACCACACTGACAGGGTCACTAGTTGCAGACAGCATTTTAGACATCAAATCACTGTAACCATTGAAGAATGTGACAGGTCTGAGCTGAACATCAAAGAGGATGGCAGACAGGCCAGCATAGGAGTCCAGGTTCTCCTCACCCTCATCGGGAGTGGCTGCAATCAAGCCCTCCAGCCCTTGGGCTTCGATGACCACCTAGGGGGAAACATGAGAATTTAGAAATTGTTGTGACACATGGTCTTGCCTGCCCTGAGTCATGCCAGAGTTCTGGGACTTTTCAAGGGGTTAAAACTTAAGGTGTCTGCAGCTGCTAGACAGAACCAAAACCCAAATCACACCAAAATTTTTATGCCTGAATAGAAAGCAAGTTAATTTTCCCACTTTTTAGGTACAGATGATTTCATCATTCTCTAGGTGAGAAAATGAAAAATGCCCCAAGCTTTATCAGCCAGTAAATGGCAGAGGAGGAGACAAAACCTTGCACTGTGCCTACTTAGACCAGGAGCTTTCTGCCCCATGGTGCTGTCCTGGAGTCAGTGGCCCCAGGGCTCTCACAAAGAATGGATCTGCTATTTCAGGACACTCTGAGAGATGGTGAAGAGGTTTGCATTGTTTTAAGACTGTTGCTATCAGAGGGTTCAGGATTCTCTGCACCTGTCCAGGTCAAACTCCTCTTTCTATAAAAAGAAAAATGATAACAAGCGCCATGGTGGACACCACAAGAAGCCCACATCCTGCCTTTTACCACACACAGGAACATTGCACATTTCCTGTGCACTGTACCCAGCCCTTAACCACAGGGTGCTTGACATTTCAGAGCATGTATCCAAAAACAGATAACAAGTTCTGGGGACAGAAGCATCCTGATTGCAGCACTACCAAAGGAGGCCATGACTTTCCATTGATGAGAGCTCAAATTTCTCTAGCACAGGATGACTCTGTAAAGTTCAGAGACTTCAATTACACAAAAGGTTAGAATGTGTTAGTCATACAAATTAAAAAGAACATATATTTCCTAATAAGGAAACTTTATGGATCATCACCTAATTTTTGATAGAACTACTGGAACAGACATCAGCGAGCTGTCAAATGTCTGCCCTTTATTCTGTCTCCTTGCAGCACTGAAGCCATCTAGGCTGGCTCTTTAGAGAGGTGTATTCTTTTATGCAGTTTCTTTTATGGGGATCCAGTTTCTTTGGAGACACCCCAAATGGTAAATATGTCACAGAACTAAATACCTGGGATCCCTAAGGAATATCTCTGTGCATAAGAATAAAATGTGATGAAATGTTTAAGTGAGAGATAGACAGTGACATTCCAATTTTGAAAAGAAAGGTTATGCCCAGCAAGCTAGGCAGATCAGATTATTTAGGTTTTCAATATGAAGTCTTCTCTGGGATCATAAGCCATGCAGCCTCTTGCAGCAGAAGGAATCATGGGCAACATATGACAGAAGCCACTGTTAATTTACACCTACAGAGCCACCATCCATATACGTGTGCATATATGCCACCTTAGGCTGATTTCTTACATCCTTTGTTAAGCAAAATCCATAGGAAATGGTTACCTGGCTACCATGGAGATCAGCCTTCCCGATATACTGAAAGACATTCAGGTTACTTCTCCTCAGAATACCAGAACCGGAGTAAAGGATGTCAAGGCTGTAAGTGGATGCCGAGTGGGGGCTACCTAACAACAAAACAGCTGTGTCACTCACCCGCAGTTCCACTGAGCCCACTGGGGAGGGGCAGGAGGAGAACCCTTCCTCAGGTTACGTACGGTCTATGTAGCCGGTGAAGGCAGAAGAGGATCCAATCTTGGAGAATCGGTCATAATTGTGAGCGACCATTTCCTTGAGAACTTGGCGAACAATTTTGCTGCAATATGTACAAAAAAAAGCTGCACATCCGTTGTAATGGTTCTTTCCAGATCAACTTTGGAAAGAAACCAAATTCTTAGTGAAAACAAGAAGGGGCCAAATTTTCCTCATGCCATCCTGAGACAGGAGAAGGTGCCAGCTGTACATCAGCACCATAACGAGATCTTTCTTTTTCTTTCCTCAAATATCTGCAGGCAGCTTGATACCAAAATGCCAAGGCAAGGATGCCAGCTGTGACAAGCTTTAGCTGACTGGAGGCTGCACCTCAGGAGCTGAAGACACATGGGCTTTGAGGCACTGGAGTGCTGCTGAGGAGTCACCCCTTTTAAGGAAAGGTGCCCCAAACCAGGAGGTGGCGTGGTGTTTCTTCAAACATTTTTCTGCATCTTCTAATGTTATCATTAGCTAAAGATATATGACAGTCAAATTCTAGGATTTCATATATATATAGTTTCAGTTATACAAACTGCTCACTCAAACCCAGAAAGGAACAACTGTCTCCTCTAAGTAGTCTTAATCTTTACCCTATTCCTCTGTCTTGTCTTTGCATTGAAAGTTGAGATCTTTCCACTTCTCATTATGTAAGCCTAATAAATGACAGTAATGTAATGAAACAGAAATAATCAAATAAGTAAACCGAACCTAGGTCTAAGAAAGAACATTTTATAAGCCCTTCACCCACATGTCTGCTTTGTTCTACTGACTTCTGTTCCTTTAGTCTTTTTAGCTTTCTTTCCCTTGGGGTCAAGCTTTCACTGTCCTGTTTCTCACCCTCCTCCACTTCTATTCTCCTTTTCTATAGTGAAGGAGCAAATGTGAACTTCAGCGCTCCATGTGCACCAGAGGAAGTGTGGATTCCTCCTCTGGCTTCTGAGTCTGGTGAGGAGGAGCTTTTGGGTATCCATGGACTTGAGTGCAGAGACGGAGTTGGTAAGAGTGACCTGCCCTTCATGTGGGCCCCCTTCAAGGCCTAACTCACAGGACAGATACATTGACACCCTGCTAAATGAGGTTTCAGATTCCTCCCATCTGGAAAGTTAAAATGAGAGACATATGATGTGGACTTATAGCATTCTATGGTGCTATTTATAAATGCAGTCCCATTGAAAATGTAATTCAATTCAATTTAAAAAATTGCTAACATTAACAATAGCTCTGCCTTGGTTCATGAACTTCATTCGTTCCATGATTTTTAGAAAGATGGCTATGGTCCTGTTCGTCACCTGATGAAGAGTTCTCAAAGGGAAGCAAAATTTTGCCAAATGCTTCTGTTTACAAACCAAATTACTCACAAAAAGAAGCGTTCATGAACCGAGGCATTACTTTCTATAACTACCAGACTGAATGGGATCCCAAGAGTAGAGGTCTTAGCCAAAGTTCCAAGCCATAAGTAGCCAAAGTGACACTGTTTTATCCAGTTTACTAAGTGGCCTTCTTGAGGGAAATTTGTCACCAGTTTTATGCAGCACAAACCACCTTATTATGTAGCAAACAGAGGGGACATGGGATGTACCATACCTTGCAGGCATTTCAAAACGTAGAATGTCTTGAATCATGGCAAGCATATATTTATTCATTTCTTTGGGAAGCTCCCCAATAGAAAGCAGGATGTTTTTTATGTCCATGTAGGATGGATTGTTCTTTAAAATGACAGCTGCTGCGGCAGTACGTACAGTTTTTTCATGAACTTTGCGGTTCTGATGATATATTCTGTTCAAGGTCTTCTTTACCTGTTTATAAGATGTTCAAATTTAGTGCAATCTAGATTTTAAGAACTGATATTGTAGCAGCAGTAGTGGGTATTTATAATGACATGGATGTGTCACTGTTTTCCAGGGTCTGTTGCCATGTTAGAGTCATGTGACTAGACCATAAACACAACCTGCGTGGGTCACCTCTAGATAGAGACAATTGAGAGCTGGAGTGCTTTTCCCAGTGAATGTGCAGGCGTACACACACCTCTCATATTAAACACAGCATGAAAAATAAACTTCTGATGGCCTGCTGAGCTTCTGAGGTTCACTTGTCACTGAGGTGGAGCCTGATCTCCCCTACATCTGTGGGATTTCACAGACACTTCTGCCATGTGGCAATCTGGGGAGAGAAGGCTCTATGAGCGGAGATGCCCTTATAAGAGAAGCCCTTATATCACACAATTTCTCTCTTCTTTTTAGAATGAATATTCCTGATTTTTAGAAAGGCTTTAAGTTTACAGAGAAACTGAGTGGGCAGCACAACCTCTCCTGGGGCTGCATCCTGTGCCGTGGTTGTTGGGGTCTGTATGTGGTGAATGTGCTTCTCAGAGGCTCCTGTGTGGGAAGCTTGGTCCCTAGTGTGAAAAGAACCCTTGAGAACATAGGCCTTGTGGAGGAAAATCAGGTGCTGGGAGCATCACTCTCAGGAAGAGTCAGTTCTATAGGCCTGATTAGTGCTTCTAAAAGTGGGTTGTGGAGGGGAGCATGACACCCCCATATTTATTCCATAAGCACCATCATCCATCCTTGCCTGTATTTCCGGCCATTTGATTTCACTTTCATAAGAGGACATCAGCACTGTGCTTGCTATAACCTCTAGAACTCTAAATAAACATCTTTATATATAAACTACTCAGTCCCAGTTGTTCTGTTATAGCAGCAGAAACCAGACTGCGATAAACATCTGTAGTATATCTGCCACATTTGATGAATCTAGTTGGCACACAGCTATCAGTCATAGGGCTATTACAGCTTGTTTCCTAAACAAGGCACAATGCAAAAGAAAACACAACCTAATAATTACATGCTGCGGCCACAAGTAATTTTAGTGATGACTAGCACTGCCTAACCATATGTAATGCGTAAGATTCTATAGCAGGCATTTATAAATATTTCTTTCAGTTGTACTTCCTTCTGCCTTTTTCTGTCTCCCTCAAATCTCAGTCTTGTTCTCCAGCATGTAGGAGCTAAGTAACTCACTCAAGAACAACAAGGAAAAGGTATCCAGAATTTACTCCTAAGTCTGTGTTTTCAAAAACCTATACTTCTGACCATCATGCTTTATAGCCAGTTAACTAAGTAATGGTCACAAAAAGCTGTCACAGGGCAAGTGATTGAGTGAAAAAAAAAAATCCAAAACATTTGCAGTGTTAAGTGCTCTTCACAGAAAGTTTATCTTGAGGTTTAAAACATCCTCTGCTCTATGAAAATTTTAATTTAGTTGGCTTCCTAAAAATGTAGTTATATGAATAAACAAGATAATCCTTAAACCAGGATATTTACTAAATATTGAAAAGTTTAGCAACATCGTAAAACTTGCAATAGGAAACATATTTCTGAAAAAACTTGTTTCTTAGAATAAGATAATATGCTTCACTATTTACGCTTCAGGACATAAAACATCATTCCGAGTGTGAGGCACTTTACAATGGCTTTAAGTATAATCTAAGAGTTATCTCTAAGAGGACAAAGAAGTCACTGGGGAGAGTACAGACTTGGGAGGAGCTTGCCCTTGACTGTTCCTTTCGCCAGTATCCCTGGAGAGGCTACCTCATCGGTGATGAAGGGGACATCGTATCTCTGGAGAGTGGTGGTGGCCAGATGGCTGATGGGCCCTTCCCCAGCCTCTGCGTACTTCAGCAGCAGCGGGACACCCTCTGGAAGGAGAGCATTCTTCAGGGCCAGCAGGTACATCATGGTGTCCTCTTTCTTTGCTGGCTTTTCAAGTCCTCCAAGGATTAACTTCTTGGCTTCCACTACTGCCTAAAATATCACACATTTAATATATGTACCTATGCACAAACTTAAACTTGGACAAGAAAACAACAAAATCTTCGGAAAACTTTTGCAGAAGTTTTGCATTGGTTGCCTGGCTGAAACAAATACATTTGAACAAGACCTTATATTTTTTTTTTTTAAAAAAAAACTGTGTAGAGTAGCACCTTAAGAAGCACTGAAAATTGTTTGAATAGGCATATTTCATTTTGAATGCATTCTGAATGTATAAATTCTTTTTAAAAATTCCTTTTTGAATAATTATTTAAAAAACTTCCCATTCACTGAATTTCTGGACATCTCCACACAATTTTTAAATAACAATTTCAGCAAAAGTCCTTAGAACCCAACACAATGCCCAGTTGTTTTAAAAGTATTTTCTCCATTTGACTGCAAATTTAATTGATACTGCCTCATAGCTCAAAAATATTTTCAGTGCCTTCTGTTTGGCAAGACCTTTGCTGGGTTCTTTTCAAATATGTTCTGCAACTAGAAAAGGACTATATCCTGACCCAGGCAAAGAAAGAGAAAAAGGAAAGAAAAAAGAAATAGGAGACAAGTTAATAATTTAGTACAAAAAAAAAAATGAGAAATAAGGGCATTCAAATTCTGGCTTTATCTTTCCCACTACATATGTGGGTTTGTTTCCTCTTTTAAATGAAAGATTCTGGGCTGCTATTCAGCTACAGAATTTATGAACTCTGAAATTGAGAGTCAAGAAAACACACACACACACACACACACACACACACACACACACACACACCCCGCCTATGTACTTCAGTGGAGCCGTACAGTTCTAAAAGTAATAAAATATACTCAAGAAATAAAGTTAAAATTAGATTAGCCAGAATGTAAAATTACAAAATTTAATTTCAACCATAGACTAACAGACACAAATGTATATCAATCTGAGAATATAACTAAACAGAAAAGGATAAAAAAGAGTTAACTCCAGCAACTTTTGAGCATACAATTCAGCTTATAGGCTCTGTGGATGGAAAGACCCTAAGAGCAGAAAGAGATGCAAGGACGACTTGAGCTTCACTTCATCTTTGTAGTGATACTGGTGTAGCCCTTCCAAGAGTGCTCTGCACGTGCTTTAGATGGATCAAATGAATCAATATATTGATGCTCTTGAAGACAAGGGTTCTCCCCACGAGGTGGGAGACAATTATAGCAAACTGTCAGACAAAGGACTCCTATCTAGAATATGTAAGGAATTTAAAAAATTAGGCCTCCAAAACCTCAACACAAAAATGGGCATCTGAGATGAATATGCTTCACAAATGAAGAGATACAAATGGCAAATAAATATATGAAAAAGTGTTCAACATCATTGGTCATTCAAGAGATGCAAATTAAAACAACGCTGAGATACTGTCTTACACCAGAAAGGATTATCATCAAGTCAACCCATAACAAATGCTGGAGAGGATGTGGGGGAAAAGGAACCCTTCTCCACTGTTGGTGGGAGCACAGGCTGGTACAACAACAATGGAAATCAGTGTGGAGATTCCTCAGAAAGCTAGGATTGGAGGTCCCACTCACAGTCACCTATTCCCCTCCTAGGTATCTTTCCAGAAGAACTGAAATTATCATACCACAGTGATACATGTGCACCTATGTTTATAACAACACAATTTGTCATAGCTAAATCTTGGAAACAACCCAAATTCCCATCAACTGAGGAATGAATAAAAAAGATCTGAAATTTTTATACAATGGAGTATTATTCAGCTACAAAAAAGACAAATTCGAGGCTTTTGCAGATAAATGGATGCAGCTAGAAACTATATTGTTAAGTGAAATAAATCAGATCCTCATGTTCAAACATCATATTATTTCTCTTGTGTGAGAACCTAAAAGAGTAATGAAAATCTAAAAGTATAACTGATACTGTGAAAGGGAAATAAATTTTCAATGGGGAGGAAAAACTAGGATGAGGAAAAGGACAAAAGAAAGAAGGGAAAAAGATATGTTTATGTATATATGCAAAATAGTTTGGATAATTGTATTGTCAGTTGTCTGCTGGTCTTTTTTAAATGTAGTTTTGTCCCGCCC